GCAAGCCTCGATACGCGCATCGCGGAAACGCCCCCTCCATTACTCGACACAAGCTTCGAAGCCTCGATACAGAACGTCACATCACTAATACAAGGACCCTCACCTGCCTGCCCTCCAGCCTCACTCACCACCTCGGACACAGCGGAACTTAGGTCTGCCAGCCTTTCCACTACTCCCCTGGACTATCACCGCCTCTCCCTCAAAGCGAGGTTCACGCCAGTCACATCGTTAGCAACACCTTGTCATGAATTCACTTGTTGCCTAAATAATAAACACTGCAAAACGTTTGAGCCGTCTCTGTTTGTGGTTTTCTGCTATCGAGTCCAATTTAGCTATCAGCCCGTGGCGATTGTGATTGTATCAGTGTTTTAAAGGAAAACAGCAGCAGCCCTTGTTATCCCTGAAAACTATGAAGCAGCAGATCAGCAGCTTCAAACTCAGTTTTCCTCTAAAGTTTACTTTGCTCCACAGCACATGTTTAAACAAGAGCTATCATCATCTCAGTTTTCCTGGTAAAAATTTATAAGCCTGAACAACAACAGCATGAGTTTAGAATCTAATCTGCCATATCTTAGTTTATATGAAAACAATGTTAGTGTTAGATGTTCGAGTTCCTTGTCTAATCAAAGGCTAATATCACTAAATGATTCATAAAGAGAGTGTTACATGTTATGTGACTTTTTTTCCTCACACATGTAAATAATAATATTGTATTACTATGTTGATAATTTAATCATTAGGTTGTTGTTTTTTTAAATACAGTTAATTACCTTAACATTTGCAATAAAAATCCACACAATAATACAAAACAAACAAACAAGTGCCCACAAACGAATCAGGATTCAACAGTTTTATTGTGAATGTGTGAGGACGGACATACAGCGATGCAGCGTGACATTCAAAACAAAACAGAGACACATAAAAAAACATCCCATATAAAAGTATATCCAAGGTCAAAAACCAGCATGCATTCCTATGGTTTGTTTTGTTTGTTTAGGGTTTTTTTTCTGTGTGTGTGTGTGTGTGTGTGTGTGTGTGTGTGTGTGCAAGTGTGTGTGTGTTTTTGTGCTGTCACAAGAAGCTCACACATGATCAGTATCTCATTATATAATGCAAAACCCACAGGGTCACAAGACGGTGCCTGATCTCCAAGCATACTGTCTTAGGTTTACTGCGTTGTGTAAATTGCTGTCGTATTACTTCTAAAATCATGAAGAGAATTTGGTGTTCAATTAGCTTTGCCCATTACTAGTTAAACTTTTTCGGTCTGCTTTTTTCCATGCTGTTGCATATCAGCATGTCATTGCCAGCAGCTCCACAACCGGCGGCTCCCACACTGTTGTCCGCAGCTCCAGCATCTGCTCTGTTGCCTGCCGCTCCCACGCCACCATTCGTTCCAGATGCGTCACCTGTGGTTGCCACACCACCTTCTGGTCCTGCCTCGTCTGGTCCTGCCTCGTCTGGTCCTGCCTCGTCTGGTCCTGCACCCGCCAAGCCTCTACCAGTGCCCTGGTCGTCTGCCAAGCCGCCTGAGAGGGTCCAGTCGCATCCAAGTCCTCAGCCAGCCCCTCACCAAAGCCCAATTTCCAGGCCATCAGCTGGGGATCATCACTGTTGTGGACGACCTCCTGAACTCTGATGCCACCACTGCCGTCTTCCATGTGGCCAGCCTCTGGACCTGCTCTGCCACTGCCGCAGTCTTTCACACAGCCACCCTCCCAATCAGCTCCAGCTCCACCGCTGGCCACGCGGCCATCCTCCAGAACTGTTTGGGCTCAGCCACTGGCCACGTAGCCACCCACCATCAGTGTTGGTCAAGTTACTTGAAAAAAGTAATCAGTAACTAATTACTGATTACTTCCCCAAAAAAGTAATCCCGTTACTTTACTGATTACTTATTTTCAATTAATTACTTAGTTACTTAGTTACTTTTTAAAAACACGATTTACAACCTGAAGAGGTGATAAAGCGATAGATCTTTCAGCCCAATTCTACTTTTTCTGCATAATCCATCATACAAAATGTAATCAAATGGAAAAGTCTCTTTTTAAAACTTGTTTTATTAGTTTTAATCTTTTAACTTTATGCATCAAGCAAAAATTTAATTATATGCAACATTCTCTGACTGGAAGAAATTAGTTTAACATTTAAACCTATTTTCTGCACATTCCAGCACATAAAATAAAATATTTTTTGTGTTTACACTCACTCTTTCAAATAGATGCAAGTAAAACACAGCAGAAAATAAATAAAGTCAAAGACTCAGCGGTCCTGTTGCTCTATTTTCACCTGTAAAGCAGGACTGCGGTAGGCGGAGGTTTACCCTGGTGCAGGTGTGCCGCAGTCAGTTGAAGAATCCGCGATTTTCTCTGTGAGTTTCCCATTACGTCGTTGCGCACTCGGTGCTTGCTTGGAAGTTTAGGGGTTTTTTTCGCTGTAAAAAGAAGTTTTCTTCCCACGCACAATGGACACTAATGTTTTTGTCACTTTTTATGGAATTGAACTCAAAATAAGGTCAGTACTTCCAGGCTTTAAACGCTGCACGCTCATACTCTCTCCCACAATCGATATGTGATCCATTGTTGATCTGCACACAGCTGTTGTCACTAACGGCGCACTCGCTTACGTCACTGTCATGAGACATTCTCGCAAAAAATCACGGTTTTAGTAACGCAGTAACGCAGCGTTCCTAGGGAAAGTAACGGTAATCTAATTACCGTTTTTGCAATAGTAATCCCTTTACTCGTTACTTGAAAAAAGTAATCAGATTACAGTAACGCGTAACGCGTTACTGCCCATCTCTGCCCACCATAACAGATTCATTTTCAACTCTGGAATCTTATTTTTTTCTTGAAACTAAAAAACCCTGGAATATGGTTTGAAACATGCAGCTCCTTGTGACTCTGTGGATTTTGCATCACATACTGTGATACTGATCATGTGAGCTTCTTGTGACAGCACAAAAAAAACACAAGGAGGTGGATTGTTTTGATCAAATAGTCAGATTAGTTTGTAGACTGCTGTGTTCACTTCAGTAATGATGGTTCATGCTGTTTTTCTACTTTTTCTGTGTGGAGTCCTTTCAGCAGGTAAGAAACAATAACCATTCTCTGTGTTTGATGCTGGTTGGATATTAGCCATTTTTAAATAGAAAGGAGGAAAGAAAATTAATTCAACTGTTTCTGTTAGTCAGCCAGTGTTTGTGGGTCTGTTTTGAGGTTTTAAGTAAATACAGTTGTGAAGATTTGTGTAGAAATACTGAACAGATATGTGCTGCATTCATGTATCTGTGTAAAACTGGGACATCTCTATTCCTGGGATTTTTTTCCAAGGGTTAATAAAACAGAACAGCTCATCATCACTCTACTAGAAAACATAATTTTAACAATTTTACCACACACTAACAGCAGGCCACATTCCTCATTCCCACATTTTCTTCTTACAGCTCTAACAGCAGTGATACAAACACACAAACATATCCAAAAAGGTCTCCTATTCATCTCAAACTTGTTTCTTTGCAACAGCGATGGCAGATTGTGTCTTTGTGTATCTACTTTTTGTGTGTGGAATCTTTCAAACAGGTAAGGAACAGATGCTTCAGTAGCCAGTGTTTCCGTTTACTGATGACTGATTCTTTTTTCTTTGTTAAAGGTGCAGCTGCAATGATCCAAACACAGCAGACTGTGCTGGCAGCAGTGGGAGAAGATGCTGAATTCAGCTGTCAGCTCTTGGAGACTAAAGATGTCCTTCAGGTCACATGGCAGAAAATCTCAGCTGGTGGAGAGACAAATGTTGCCACATACAACAAGTACTTTGGCCAGAGAGTGAATGACGGCTTTAACGATAAAGTTGAGTTTAAATACACTGGACTACAGAACTGCTCCATAGTCATCAGGAATGTGACGAAGCAGGATGAAGGATGCTATCGTTGTCTGTTTAACACTTATCCTGAAGGAGCCTTTATTGGTAGAACCTGCCTCCAAGTTTCTGGTAAGAACTTTTATCTTCTTTAACCAGCAACAGGAGACTCAAAATAATATAGCGGACATAAAAACATAAGCAGCTTGTGTGTTTGTAAGAACATGTTGATGATATTTCCTGATCCTTCACAGAGCTGCATGAACCTGTTGTTGATGTCAGAGAGTCAAACTCTACTAAAGAGTGGGTTGTTTCCTGTTCAGCCACTGGTCGACCTGCTCCCACTATAACACTCAGTGTCTCACAACAAGACCTCAGCTTCACACAGTACAACACTGTCAATGTGTCCAACACCAACGCTACATTCACTGTCACCACTACAGCTGTGCTCTCAGGTTCACTTAAACAGAGCACACAGGTGGGATGTGCAGCACGAGTGCTCTCTGCTCCTCAGAGAGAGGTTATGGTGATGATTCCTGAGGTCAAACATACACATGATGATGATGATGATGAGTATGGTGAGAAACTTGTTTTATATGCTACAGAATTATAGATTGATGATTTCTGGGTCAGTTTGACTGGGATCTATCAACTATGATTCCATTTTCTCATTTTTCCTGCTTTTCTGACAGATTACACCTGGATCATTGTATCAGCTACAGTAGCAGGACTGATGGTCTCTGTCTTAGTTGTGGCTGTGGTCATCGCTGTCCTGCTTAAACAAAAAAATGAGAAGAGGTAACTTTCACATTTGGCCAAGTATATCTGTTTGTAATGTGTCTCTTTCTGTTATTATGCATAAATGTTTTCAGCATTGACTTTAAATAGTTTTTAAATCTTTCTGTCACTCAGGGACCCGGAGATGGAGAGGACGGCACAATAATCAGCAAATGACATGCGTAATGCAGTTTGATAATTATGCGTATTCTGTGTATTTATTCATCCATTCTGTGCAAGATCTAAATATAAATTTTCCTACCTCAGAAAATTTTCTACATGTTTAGGAACACAAAGCCACAAACATCTACACACAGACTATGATTAGCAGATGGTTGCTTGCTAGTTGCTCCCAAACCTGCGTACCTCTTTCAGTGTTAATGGTTCCTTATATTATTTTATTTATGCATACAATACTACTTTTTGGATCAAAGCTTTGATCAGTTTGTGGTAGAGTAAGATCCAAAAAGATAAATTCCAGTGCTGTTATTTTTGTCCTATTGTTTTAACCATGTTCAGCAGCATCTCACCACTAGTTCACTACTAAGAATTTTGGTGTCTTTCCTTTTCAGTTATTTAAATAATTACTTGGCTTGACCCAAAAAACAAAAACAAACTAACAAAAAACGACAAAGTTAATGATGACATATCAATTTCATTGTTTCACTTGCTCTCCAGCAGCTTGTGAGCTGTTTCTTCTTACTATTTAAGTCGAGAGAGATTTGAAGTGCATTAGAAGAGCCTTCCTCAAATCATCAGGTCTTCTGAATATATTTTGTTTGAACTCATTGTTTAATTGAGCCTTTTCATGAACATGGTTTACAGATTTTATCATTGTGCATGTGTTTCACGCACACACACAGAAGTATTTTATAGTTTATGTGCAATAATGCTGTTGACGTTAATCCGTAATTTTGTTTTTAAAACGCTAATATTGTTTTTGCATTTTGTAAAATATGAATCATGTGTTTATTTGTTTGTATCCGGATCATCAGTTCTTTCCTGTTCACACAGTTTGTGTGGTGACTTTAAAAAATGAGAAAATCACACTAATTGTCACAGTGAACTGACATGTCATTACATATCGAGTAAATAAAACAGCAATAATCAAAAGCTTAAAGAAGACGAACACATTTTATGTTGTTTTTAATGCATGTTAAAATGTTCTTCTTGGGTCTTGGCAAAATGAATCATGCTTAAGAATATTTGCTGAAAATGACTGAATTCAGAAGAATTGCATGAATAAACTTGGGAAATGAAACTGCAAGGTGGGTTTATTATAAAGTGCTGTAGGTTGTGGTTACATTATAGGTAGATTTGGTCTGCTGTAGGGGAATCATTCATCATTGTGTGCACATTTTCTAACAGCAAACCGCTGTTAGAAACGCTGAAAAATAAGTAAAAGAAATAATAAAAATAATAAAGAATCCTTAGCTTCCTGTCTGACAGACGCCAAGTGGTCAGACTGGGCAGCATCACCTCATCCCCC